TGAAGATGATCACTTGGTGATCATCTTCACGTGTCGAGGTGTTAAAAATAACGATTTGGTGTTGGGAAAAAAACTCAAGTAATATTCGTTGCAATATTGTTGAATTTTGACCAAAAAAATCTTTGAGCATCGGTCAATAAGGAGTATTATATAAATGACTATTGTTTGTATTATATTAAAGTTATGGGCAGCTTGCCTGAATCAGTACGAAGAAAGCATCCGGTATTGTGAAAAAACGATTCATGGCTTTTGCATCACGATAATGTACATGCTCATAATAATGGATTTTGCCCCTTACGCATTTTTTAAGTTTCCAAGAATAAAGAGACCCATAGAAGGACGGCGTTTTGCTTGATGAAAATCCATGTCATAACTTACTAATAGAATTTTTGGAAAATGATGTAACAGCAGAGCATATACTTTGTGCCTGCCCCGCTGGGGACCGAATCAGGTTTTTAGAGTTTGGCAGAGCCGTACTCTTATCATCTGACCTAAAAGACCACTCACCATACAAACTAATCGGCTTCGATAAGGAGCTGGGTTTATTTAGCCGAGTGTGAATAGGTGTCAGCCACAATAAACCCTTGCGGGTTGCGACGTGACTTTAGAACTAACCTAACCTACTAATAGGATTCATTTTGATTTTCACTATACAATAGATTTGTTAAGCAAGACCTCTTGCTTGAGAAAGTTGATGCATAGAGAAACGTGTCAAAATGAATCATATTGGTAATTTTGTTTAATTTTCTGAGTTTTTAAATTTTGTATTTATTATGTTGGTTCACAGTTACAACAAGGATCGAATCAAATCTGAAGAAATGAACTGTAAATGTTCAAGCCAGTCTCAGATATACCTACACAGTATGTTGAATGGACTGACACATCAGAAAACAACTACTCCGCTGGCTAATACCACCAACGGCGTTGGATTATATTCGACAGGCGTCAGTGCAGGAATCTTCACAGAAAATTTCCTGCATATGCAATTGGCAATACAACTAAAAGAGTCGACCTTCAATTTTGGAACGAGCACACTTGTAGATCGGTTTCGGGCTCATTAGCCACTCGTCAGTGCAAGATAGTGGCCATCATCGACCTAAAGTCAATGATATTCCATAATTGAAAATCG